ATTACGCATTACATGCCGAGTAAGCGTTTCTTCCTTCCAATCCTTTTTATTACTCAATACTACAGTTTTCAAAGTTGTAAATTCTTGGTATGTCATCCACTGGAAGTTGGAGAAGTGGAATTTTCTTTTTGAGGGTGTTCCAAGCCCCTGACCTGAAAATTCTCCCAGTACTGTTTCCGTCAATGACCATTCTAATCATTGTCGTATGGCATAACTACCGACGACAATATGCAGTGGTGTTAGGTCTAGAATGACCTCCATTGCTGCTGTTGGACATGTTCTCATGGCACCTGTGATGCAGATCCATGGCAGTCCCTGTACTTTGCACAGGTTTTGCCTTGCTGTACGTTGCTCTAGTTTTGTATACCAAGCAACTGCTCTATAGATAATCATGGGTCTTACTATCATGGTAGGTATACATCCAGCGCAAAATGTTAGGGGAGCAGCCCCACCTATTTCCGGCCAGTCTTCTGCACATCATGAGATCCTTTGTGGCTTTGCTCGTAATGTTCTTAATATGCCTGTTCCAGAGAAGTTTACTATCCAGGGTTATTCCCAGATATTTCACTTCCTGTGATGATTATGAATTTTAAAAATTGATATACAGCTATAACAGAACAAACATAAAATTAACTTCTAATTGAACACAATTGCATCCTTTGCAATATAAAAATGCGATAAAATCTTGAAAACCAAAGTAAAAACTCCAAAAATTACAAGCGTCATATGCATTGAAAATAAAATTATGGGTTTTATGACTTTTTTATTAGTATGGATGGGATATTGAATAAAAAGCACACGTGATAAAATAAAAAGCATAAATGATATTTAACTGGTGCTTTTTCAAACATATAAAATTGTACCGTATGATAAAAAAAACGGCATCAGCGATGGCGATGAAATGAAGATCGTTGTTATTTTATATGTAAAATTATATGGAGACTGTCATCGATCGTCATTTCCAAGCCAACTGGACGTCGTTTTTTTTTCGAACATACGGTACTTCTTGTATAGGACAATTAAAACAATGATAATTAATCTTTAATTATTGACTGAGACTAATACAACTATATCTTTTGCTAACCATTTATTAAGCATTCAAATGAAAAAATAAAATAAAATTGCTAAAATGTATTTAAGTATTTAAATTATCTAGTAACCTTCTTTTTCAATTTATTCTAGCTAAAATAACAATTATTTTATTACCACAAAAAATCCGAAATCACTAGTAAACAACATTTAATTAACCTTAAAGAAGCAAACCACGTGTTTTAACGTCAAAATATTTACTAAATTATTAAATTTGATTAGTTTGTTTTTATACCATGCTGGAAAGTAATTGAAAGTAAATAAATAAAAATAATATTTTTCGTTACCAGCAAATTGCAGGAGAAAATGCTAAAATAATAATATTAAATAACAAATTAAAACATGTTTTAGTTTATTTCTTTTTTTCATGAAATGTTAATGTAAAGTATAAAATTTAATAAGGCAATTGCTATTTATTAAAAAGTAAAAAAAAATCATTTTTTCACCATAAGGCTATGCGCTGAGAGGCAATTTTCAGTTGGCCGACTATTTAGTTTATTAGTTTGTAACCAGTGTATTCTTTTGGAGCCGCACTCATATGCAATAAAATAGTCGTCCGATCGGCTCCATAATCTCGACCCAAACATATCGCTTCCCGAATCTGGTATAATAGACACTGGGATGACACTTCTTATGGGAGAACTAGCAATGGCTCAAAACTTGGCTACAAGCGATTTTCTAGGAGTCTTCCTTACCGATAAATTATTGACAAGAATGACAGATAAAACCTTGACGATCTTTCAGTAATTGAGTTCACCTGTTTTTCCTTCTAAAGCGTGCGTTGAAAGGAGACACACAATTTTTGGTGACCCATAATTTGTCATTCGAACACCATTTTTCTCCTTGTCGGGTCGTTGACATTTTATTTCTTTTGTTTACACGCTGCACTTTGCTTTGAAAATTTAATACATAAATTATTTAGGCAAATATAGGTTTTTGATAAAACTCCTCGGCCTAATGTGTAGTAAGTGCAGATAAATAATATGTACTATTTTTTTTTCATCTTTACATGCTCATTGTCATTCTCCTGATTTAGGTAACAGAAAAGGATCATCAAATCAAACTGAATTTTATGTTTTTTCATCCCAGGACCGATAGTAAAATATGGATACCTTCCTAAATATGAACGAGATGAGCCATCGGAAGGAACGGACCATAGTACAAAACAGAAAGGTTTTCTGTCCACTTAGGATATTGAAATTATATACTGTATGTTTGAAATAATCGGCTTAAAAATGATGATCGATGACATTTCCTATACCCTGCTGGCAAGCGAAACCTTGGATCGGCGTTTACATGTACAGGAGTGAATCGCTATAGCAATCTAGTAAGTGGGAAAGAGCAAAAATACGAAGTATTTATTACATAACCACTTATCTGACGCTAGATTTCATTTCATGTGCTTGGGAAAATACTTGCCTTCTGTTTTTATTCAGTATATCTCATTTTGCTAAGCGTATTGACCGTACTCTTCGAACACACGAAAATCGGCACCTAAGACCAGAAATGCCAGCCCTAGTATAATTTTGCTTTCAAAATTATGATATATATCTTCATAATAGAATATATACCGGGTGCGTCTCAAAAGTGGCTCACTCCTATAACTTTTTTATTTTTTCAGATAAAACAACGAGATTTGGTATGTTGGTATATATGACATAAATTGGGATTGGGATATATGAAATAAATTGGGATTGATTGACGTATTCAATTGTTTTTGATCACTTCCTTTGGAAATTACTACAACTTTTGATTTTTAAATGGCACCCTCGGTATTTTTTTTTAATTTATTCGATAAAAAATGACACTCTGAATCGAATGACATATCGTATGTCAATTTTTGACATAATCACTCAAAATTAAATTGTATTTTACACTTCAATCTAGAGTGCCATGGCTGTGTTAAAAACACTAATTTTTAACCAAGGAGCCTTGGAAACATAGATTTGAACGTCTAATGTTTTTAGTGTCATGTCCTGGCCGGTTAAAAGATGCCCAAATCGTATTTTTAATCATATCTCAATTTTTTCAAAGGGCTCATTAGCATATTTGAATAGAGTGGCTCATTAGCATATTTGAAAAAAACAATTTTTTACGAATAATTTGATACCACACACTTGGTATTTTGAGTCAAATTGTCATTATGAACCGCATGTTACAATTTCAAATAAACCATATGCAAAAATGTCAAAAGTTGACGTATAATATGTCATTCGATTTTTTCTATCGAATATAGTAAAAAAATACCGAGGGTGCTATTTAAAAATCAAAAGTTGTAGTCATTTCCGGTGAAACCGGATGTGACCGAAAACAATTGAATACGTCAATCAATCCCAATTTATGTCATATACTAACATACCAAATATCGTTCTTTTATCTGAAAAAAATAAAAAAGTTATAGGGGTGAGCCACTTTTGAGACGCACCCGGTATAATACATTTTTTTGTGGAGAAATTATATTTCTGTTGTATATTTGATATTGATATTAAACAGATCTTTAAAAAAATTTGAATTTTTTGTGTTTTTATGTATGTCTTAATTAAAAATAAATAAAGAATTAAAGTTTTTATTTTTTTAAACTTCCCGCCATACGTCACAACATAGTCCGTAGTTCCTACAAGCGATATTGGGGGCGCTAGTAGCAGTAGGATTGTCAATAGTGTCAAATTTAAACGTCAATTTCACTTCCCAATATTTAATAGGGCGCTTGCACTTCTTCTGTATATGTGTTTTGTGATAATAGACGTGTCTCCTAAAAAAACTAAAGTGTTCTTGATTTATGTAATTTTTTTCTTCGTTTTTTGAGTAATTTTGCTTCTGACAGCGGTACAACATGCCTCCTGAACTGAGTATTATTTTTTTTTCGGTTAGGCAAATCTGGTTGATTTGTAAGTGTAAAATACCACTGACAAATTCGTCTTCGTTGATCCAACGCAGTGGTCTTTATATAAATATTTAATTTTATTTTGTAGATTTTCTTCCATTCAAACCTAAAATTCTTTTCAAATAAAAAACCACCACAATGAAGGTCTAATTATTATTATTATTTATAAATATTTTTTTATTGTAATGCAGTCTTGACAAGCAGTTATACTAAATTAGAATAAATTACTTGTTCTATAAAATCTGAGATAAAAATAAATAATATTTATTTTTGGTTATGTAAGAACTCTATTTTTATTTACAGACTTTTTAACGGGCCATTTTACGATAAACGCTTAAAAAACGCGAAGCGACGGTATTTAGAACATAAACAAGAACAGTGACGAATCATACCTGCCTATTCAAAAAGGTTCAAATAAGAAACAATGTATTGGAAAACGTTGGGAAGAGAAGCAGTGCGCGTTTATTCAATCACAACTCATAAAGTCTCTGAGATTTAATTACGGTTTTGTGGTGGTTCTGAGTTCCATTGCTGTTCCGAGAACAAAGCATGACTAAGGTGAGTTTATTTTATCTCACTGGACAACTATAGCTGTTTACCATTTATTGTTTTTATTGCGATTTATTATGTTTCTGGATCTCAGGCAAATTACAAGATAATTTGATTGAATAATAAGTAAATATATGGCCAGATGATAGTAAATTAAATTATTTCTTTATAGTTTTATTAGTATTTGTTTATATGACTATCATGGAAGATAAAATATATTTATCTATTAATACCATTAGATCGATCTTGCCGATTTTTGATGGCCAATAAACTTTAATACACAAATAATATTTAATTTTTTATTAAATAATTCAGTAATTGCGGAAATTTTTATTTAGTTTTAGAAAAGCAACTGGATAATATTTCCTTTTAATTAATTCAATTTTTGATATACAAGGTATT